GACAGCCCAGCCATAGCTCTCCGGCTATGACTAAGGGTGGGTCCAGGTGAACCCTGCATAAAAGCTGCTCTAAGCTGCTCTTCAATGGGGCAGCTGGTGCCTGTGAAGAGGGCACGATGCAAACAAGGGTGGGGAGAAAAGAAGGAGAGCAAGGAAGGGAGGGGGGGATCTTGCCATTCAGCTCCCCGCACCATCAGTGTGGAGGGGGGGCTACTCATTTGTATTGAGACCTGCACTTGCAGCTAGCAAGGAGCTGGGGCCCACAAGCAGCTGATTGCACTGGGACAGGTGACAGAAGGACCTGGGGCTGGAGCAGGGAGGGGGTAGATCAGGACATCTCCATGGCAGGGCATGGGCCATCCATGGGACAAGAAGCAGGCCATCATCATTTCTTTATCCTTGTTTCTATGCATCTGCAATTAGTGAACATTGCTTTTAAAGACTGTTAGCAATCTCCAAATGCATCCTGCAAGGCTTTTAGCAAGTTAAGGTGTAAAGTCTTAGGTTTCAAAGATTTCAAAGATTCCCACCCCCTTCCCATCTACCTCAGAGTGGCTGAAAATAAGGCATGTTGTCAGGTCTACAAATTTGCAGCTCAGACCAGCTGTCAAGTATGTACTCAGTGTTCACTCACTACCCTGAGGTCACGAAGGCGGTCTGCATCACACGGGTGCATTCAGACCCACCAGCCTGTCTTCTCCATAGCACAATGCATTGTGTGATCCAGCAATCGGCATGGCCTTTAGAAGATCTCTCTGTAAGATCTCTGTAAGATCTCTGCATAGATGTGACTTCTTGTGTTTTGGAAAGGAAAAGACACAAACAAAAAGCAACTTTCAAGGAAAGCAAAACTGTAATGAAGCCATCACTCAAAATCTACTCATTACTTCCTGCCCACCCATAGCAGATACTGATAGCTCTTCTGGAACTCTGAGAATAAACCTTAACCCCAGTGACTGTGATGTGTCTCCTTATTACAAGGTTAGGAACATAAGAATTTAGGAATAAAGAGAGGCCCACGTTACAGGATGCACAAAGCTCATCATTCTGGGTGTGGTGTATCAGTCTCTGGGTGTCCAATTAATCCTGATGCTATTGGCTAGTTCAGTAAGTCTAACCCTGAGCTTGTGTCCTAAGGGCTAGATACCTAAGATAAGTCCTGGGTATCTTCTCCATTAATTGACATTGGGTTGTTTTCCACCAATCCCTGTGGTTGAGACAGGAAGCAGCTGAGAATTATTTGCAGACCATAGCTTGGATCAAGCTACTGAAATCTATATCCAACACAGAACCTATGGGCCAGGCTGCTTCAAGGGCAACCGAGAGGACCAGATTCAACTGCAACAGGAAGATGAGCAAAGAGACAGGGTGAACCTCTTACAACCTGGGTGGCCTACAGCAACTCTCAGCAAATCAGAGCTCAGGCTCTCCACTTGACCCTGGTTCTGATGGCTCATGGCTGGGATATAAAGCAAGAGAGCACTGCAGCTTCGGGCATGTGGGATGCCTCCTTCCGCCAGAGGCACAAAGATCCCTGAGGCCTCCAATAAGCCTGAAGAAGTAACTTAGAAAGTCACGCTTATCAAGGAACATAGGGAATGCACAGTGAACCACAAAGACAGTGCAAAACATTCTGACCCAGTGCTGTCCAACCAAATGTGAGTCACACAGATCATTTAAAAACATTCTGGTGGTTGTATTTGTTGGTGGTGCTAATGGTGGTGCCAGTACTGGGCTTTGAACTCAGGACCTTGTGCTCTTGCTTATTTTGTTGTTAGTTTTGTTTGTTTGTTTGTTTTCACTAAAGGCTATCACTCCACCTCTTGAGCCACAGCTCCATTTCCTGCTTTTTAGTGATTAATTGGAGATACAGGTCTCATGGACTTTCCTTGCTGAGGCTGGCTTTGAATAGGATCCTCAGATCTTAGCCTGAGTAGCTGGGAATTCAGGCTGAGACACCAGTGCCTGGCTTGGTAGTTGTATTTTTGTTGTTGGTGGTGGCGGTCATGGTGCCTGAACTCTGGGCCTGGGCTCTGTCCCTCAGCTCTTCAGCTCGAGGCTAGTGCTCTATCACTTGAGCCATAGCACCACTTCTGCCTTTTTTTTCTGCTTATGTGGTGCTGAGGAATTGAACCCAGGGCCTCATGCATGCAAGGCAAGCACTCTACCACAGAGCCACCTTCCCAGCCCGGTAGTTGTATTTTTTGTTAAGGAATAACAACAAATGAAGATGTATCAGTCTGCTAATACAGACAAAAATGATCATTCCAACATATGTCTTACACCTCCCTACTAAATATTTTCTAAGTCCAGTGTATATTTTCCATGGGAGAAAATGCACACTTTTGGTCTAGTTCCTTTCCCAGTGCTCAACAGCAACACAGAAGCCAGTGACTGCTCTATACTGGATGCACAGACAAGCTAAGCGATTCCAAAGAAAACCTCTGGGTTCCTCATGTGAAGTTAAACAACCCTTCCTATCTTACAGATTATGATGAAAAAGACCAAATTGCATCTAAATGACAAAGTGCTGCTCTCAGTCAGGCTGAGAGAATAGAAGCATGGCACTTAGGATAAGAGATTTAAATGGATTGGCATCAATTTCATGTGTATGTGTGTATGTATGTGTCAGTATGCGTGCACACACATGTACATGTGTGCACAAGCATGTGTGTGTATGCCAGTACTGGATCTTTAACTTAGAACCTGAGTCTGTCCCTTAGCTTTTTTACTCTGAGCTGGCACTCTACTGTTTGAGCAACAGCTCCACTCATGGCTTTTTGGTGGTTAATTGGAGATAAGAGTCTCACGGACTTTTCTGCCTGTGCTGGCTTTGAATTGTGATCCTCAGATCTCAGCTTCCTGAGGAGTTATGATTACAGGTGTGAGCCACCGATGCCTGGCCCCACCTATTTCTTCATCTCTTTTATTTTGGGCACAATTTAGTATTAGAACCTGCCTTAAGCAAAGGCATCTTTCTGAAAATCGTTGTTCCCTACTGCTTATTTATTATGAGCCCTTAGAGAATATCTTGCTTGGCTCTGAAACCCCAAGTAGCTTGTTGAGTTTTCCTGGAGTGGGTAAGAATACTTCAGCCTTATCTGGATCTGCTTTGTCACCTGCTGATGTCTGGTCAAGATGGGTGAATTCAAATCAGAGGCTGCTTTGTGCAAGAAAGCCAGGTAAATATTGAATTGTCACCTAGTCCTCCAGCTGGCCTCTACTTGTGACTGAGCTAGAAAGGGAATTTTGAATGTCAGTTTCCCCACAGGTCTCTTAGCCCAGGATTAGTATCCTGGAGTGCTGGAAGTAGAGGCTCCCTCCTCTGGAGGTGAGGGAGGAAGCAGTAAGCTCAGCAAAATGGACTTCCTGAGCAGCAACCCAGGTTCTAAGTTGGAGGGGCTCAGTCAACAGAGCGGTGTCTCTAGGTCTGGCTTATTCATTAGCCCCAGGTTGCAACATCTAGAACCTGAAAATTAAAAAAAAATCTGCAATGCTCCAAACTCCAAATTATTTTGAGCTTTCCATCACTCTAGTCCAGAAGTATATTATTTCTGATGATTTATCGTTCTTTCTTTTTGGGGGAGTGGGCAACACTAGGGTTTGAACTCGGCTTCACTCTTGCTAAGGAAGTACTTCAGCTATATCCTTAGTCTTTTCAGAGAATATCTTTTTCTTTTTTTCTTTTCTTTCTTCCTTTTTTTTTTTTTTTTGCCTGGACTGGTCCTGGATTGAGATCTTCCTACCTATGCTTACTGCAAAGTTGGAACAGTAGATGTGAATCACCCATTGGACTTGTTTGTTGGGATGGGTGTCTTGATCTTGATTTATGCCTCCTGAATAGCTGGTAGTATAAGTTCGAGCTGCCTCCTCTGCTCCTTCAGATTTTGTCCTTCTGACTTTCCCATCTCCACTCCCCATGGGCAGGAATGATCACCCAGCAGTCTTGAATCACAGCTCTGATGATGTTGCATTTCACATCTATGCTTAAAGTCAGTCTCTGCCTATGCAAGAAATGACCTGTTTTTCTTAGCCTGCCAATCAAGGCCCTCTTAATGCATCTCATATTTTTGTCTCCCTGTCTTTAGGTTCAGTGGAGGCCCAGACAATCCACCAGAAAAGACAAGATCATGCATGAAACTAACATTTTCTCCCTTTCAAGCCTTTGCATATAATGATCACAAATCTCTACATGATATTATCTGAGTTACAGGCTCCATTCTGGATCCTTTCCCTGAGGTTTCTGAAGGCTCACATGAAGCAAAGGCTTCTGTACTGTTCACAGGGGAGGAAGCTGGTGCTCCAAGAAGTTGAGACCATTTGCTCAAAATGGAGAGTCAGGACCTGGAACCCAAGGCCTCCTCAGTCTATGAGGTGGTGCTCTTTCTTGTGTCCATCATTTTTCTAGAATTCTTCTCTCTCCAGTTTTATAAGCAAAATCCTACCTTCTTTGCTCTTCCTGCATACTTTCCAGGATGGCATTAACTTCCTGGCACAGCTAGCCCTTCTGAGTGTCTGCCTTCCGCATTTCACTTTTACTAGAATCATCTGCTCACCTTTGCGCCAATGAAACCCACCTGGGAAGTTTAAGAGCCTTCAAGAAGATAGGATGAGAATCTTATTGCTAGATTTTTAACCTGGAGAGACTGGACTTGGACTGGGCCTGACACATACAGGTGTTCTGCAAGTGTGTGTCTTGGAGTTTGGGGCCTGGCTTTAACCCCAATCCTGAGGGTTCCACCAGGACTTAGAGAACCAGGTGGGCTTTTTTGGAGCCAATCCAGCCCCACCAAGCCTTTAGTTCTGCAACCTACTCTCTCAGCTCAGCTCTCTAGGGACTGACACAGCCCACAGACCCAGTACCAGAGCCTTGCCTTCTGCTAACGTCCTAAATGCCAGCAGCCTCTTCCTGAAAAATTTTCAGGTCTCAGAAACTGGGGAAGGGGACACGCATGGAACTTCCCCCCAACCCTACAGAGGGGAAGGCTAAGCAGGCTTACCTGGATCCATTCATGTGGTCATATTCCCGCTTGACATTGACCCTCACTGGCTGATTGATCCACTCCTGCTGCGGCGGGAGGGGGTTGATCTTGTGGGGCTGCCCATAGTCAGGACTCCCCGAAGCAGTCATGTCTGCCTTGGGGAGATGGGCTGCGGCTCCGTATGCTGACTCAAAGAGGGACTGGTCGTCACTCACCACCGACAGAGCCTCCTGCAGGGCCAAAGAAGAGACAAGAAGCTTAGGGTTTGCTCTCTTCACCCAGGCAAATGGCATTCTCAATCTGAGCTGGTCCAATGGCCCTGGGCTGCCGGGGAACATCTTGCCTGCGGAGCTCCAACTGTACCATGGCCCTCCAGAGCAGGCTCACCCACAGAGAAAGAGGAGATTAGCAAGGGAAGAGCACAGAAGTGAGTGCAGTTTGGGGGCCTGTGTGTTGGGTCCTCAAAAAGGAGACTAGAAAAGAGAAGGTCAGACACAGTGGTTAAAAAGCATGGAAGGAGGCGCTAGGGGTGACGCAGACTCTGGACTCTTTCAGAAATAAATGTGAATGTCTCTTATTAGCTAAGTAGCATAGTCAAGGGACAGGGGGTGGATGAGAATGGGCATTTATATTACAGGGGAGGACATAGAGATGCTCCAGGGAGATCGTTTAGCTCAAGGTCAGGTAAGGGAGTGGTGGTATCCAAGGCTGTGACTGGGTCAATTTTCACTCGGTTGCTAGGTGGATTAAATGAGCACCTGCGACACAGATGTTTGGCTTATACACAATGATTGGCAGTTTGAAGATGTCCTCTGCAGCATGTGCTGGTGTGTCCCCTAGACCGTCTTCAACTTGATTATTCAGCCAAAGAAGATAGGAGGAAGTAATGTGGATATAATCCTCTCAGCACCCCGAAGTGGTCTTCGGGTGATAAAGGTGAAGATCCATTCCCACAGTGCCATTATTAAAAAAAAATAGCATTTAAGGAATCTGGTATGATCTGCTGAGGTGAGTGGCCTTACAGACTTGGTTTCTACAGGATTGGTTTGACATAGTGAATCCTGGAGTTTCCAGTAAAATGATTCCTTCCACATCACTTCTATTGTTAAGGGGAGGACAGAATGGAAGAGCAGAGGTGAAGAGGTCTTGGAGGCAGAACAGAACCTAGAATGCCCTGGCGATGGGGCATTCCTGGTATTCACCTTGTTCAAAGGCATTATACTATTGGAATCCTCCCTCCTACGTACCCTCCTTAGCGGACATGTTTGTATATATCTGCATATGAGCCTATATGTGTTTACATAGCTTTTATAATTTACATATAACTTCTTCATCTGCAAGAAAACATGCCTGGTGAGGGTAGTAATTACACACACACACACACACACACACACACACACACACACACACACACTACTTAAAGTACTAGCTTTGCAGCCAGAGGGATTTGAGTCTTAGTGGAAGCTATATCAATTGTTCCTTAGATATTCGTATGGTTTATCTGTAGTACTTACAAGTACTTATCTGTAGAATAGAGACAATCATAATTCCTTAACCTGGTGGATTTAGAATAAGGACACAACTAGATGATCTATGTACAGTATCTAAGTCAAGAATTTAACAAATAACACAGTAAATAACTAGAATAAAAACTTAAAGAGCCAGTACCAGGAGGGGGCCTGAGAATCGCTGGGTTTAAGAGATGGGTAGTGTGGGAGCAATGCCTCTCTCTCCCTTGTAATGGTTCCTCAGAACTCCAGTTGTCCTGAGAAAGGCAAGTTGTTCTCCTTCTGAATCTATGACACCCTCTTTTCCCTGCCCTTAGACATTAGAATCCAGGGTTCTCAGGACTTTTGGGTTGGATTGAGCCATGCCCCTAGCTTCCCTCATTCTAATACCTTACAGTCAGAAGATCATGGAACTTCTCAGTCTCCATAATCAATCCTTCCTTCTTTCCTCCCCTCTTTCGTTTTCTTCCTACCTTCCTTCTTTCCTCCTTCCTCCTTTCCTTTCCTTTCCTTTCCTTTCCTTTCCTTTCCTTTCCTTTCCTTTCCTTTCCTTTCCTTTCCTATCTAGCTTCATTGCTCGGGAGAACCTGACTAAATCTGACAGAAAAGCAAAACCAGTCAGAATTTTCTCCCAAGTATCTGAAATTCATCCTAAAACAAATAGATCCCTTTCCACCGAGTGCTTGACTCAAAGATGGGCCAGCTCAGGAGACATGAGTTGGCTTTACTTCTCCATAAGAACAGAGAAGTCGAGGAGGATAGTCTACAGAAACGAGGAGGCAGAAAGCAGCATGCAGAGAGAAAGAAAGAGACGGATGTCAAAGAGGTGTAGGATGAATAAATGCTGCCTTCCTTTCCTGTCCAGCTGATGCCACTAAGCCTTGACAATTCTGTTACCTGGTTCCAGGAAAGCCCTCACATGCTCTCAGGAGCCACCCCTATTTTCCTGTACTACCTCCTGTTCTACTAAGCACCGCGTTAGCCTTTATGCATGCCAGGGGCATCCCTTCGAGACTGGCCACAAGTCTCCCTGGCTTAGGGAAGTACCTCTCTTACACTTGCAAGTGGAGTGAACCATGTCTGTGCAGGATTCCCACACAGTTACCCAGAGCGTGGCAGGGCTTCTGTACTACCCCATCCATTTCACACCAGAATGCCACAGACAGACCCCATCACTGGCTTCAGACACAAGAACATTAGTTCCTTTCTGATGATTTCTCACAACCCTGGCAAAAATCTTTGCCTTGGTTCTTCTGGAAGGCAGAGGAACAAGAGAGCGTGTTTCTATTAATCTTGGTAACCAATGTTTGCTGAGTACTGAACGTTGGAAAACTATGATTTGGAATCCATGCTTACAGTCAAAACAAAGGTCAGTTGTCAGAGATGAAGAAGTAGTAGATATGGTGATGAGAGTTAGATTCTGAAATCTGAACCCATTGGCCTTCTAATTAGACCCTGTTTCACTATTCTGCATTTCCAGTCTTCCTTTCAAGCCATGAATGAATGGTGTTCCCTTGCAGGCTCTTCCCACTGCACCTGTCCGGCTTCTGAGTTCGGGCCTCTAGGTGGCTCAGGGGACTGTTAAATAGCCCTGCAAACAAGAGGAGGGGCCATCCGCTCCAGCATAATGCCTATAGGTGCCTAGTACCTGTTTACATTGTTGTTTACATGGCACAGACTCAGTAAATATCTGAAGAATGCAGTGTCTCTGTGAGATCACTAGTAAAAAGTTCACTTATTTTGGCATTTGTTACATAGACACGTGTTTGTATTATACATATCCATATGTATTTATGCTTTTTTTCTTATATTTACTGACAAATCTGCTCATCTTTGTCTTCCTTAGGCCAGTTACATGTTACTTTCCATATCTGACCAGGAGATGTTGGTAGTGTGATGGGGCATTGCCAAAATGATGGCCTGCCAATATTGAGGATGAGATCTCAGGAACCTTCCCAAACTCCAGCTAAAGCAGAGACATCAGTGTTTCCAGAGTGGCAAGACAAAGTAGCAAAAGTGCCTTGAGGATTCCCCCAGTCTGTTCAGGAATACACAAAAGAAATCTTGACATGCCAGGCACTGGTGGCTCACTTCTGTAACCCTAGCTACTCAGGAGGAGTCTGAGATTTGAGGATCATAGTTCGAAGTCAGCCCGGGCAGGAAAATCATGAGACTCTTATCTACAATTAGCTATCCCCAAACCCAAAGTGGAGCTATGGCTCAAAGTTGTACAGTGCTAGCTTTGAGCAGGGAAGTTCAGGGACAGTGCTCAGTCCCTGAGTGCAAGACCCATGACAGAAGGAGGAAGAGGAGAAGGAGGAGGAGGAAAAAGAGGAGGAGGAAGAGGAAAAGAAAGGAGGAGAAGGAAAAAAGAAGAAGAAAGAATCTCCACCTATCATCCTCTGTGTAAGAAGGGTACAAACAAAATTTGCAGTTCTACAGGATACATTAAATCCCAGGTGCCAACGTGGAGAGGTCATTCTTTATCTTTTTCATTCCAGTGCTTAAACTCATTTTTCATTTCCAACACAAAGAATGACCCAAGACATGGGGTCTGAGAAGCATTCATTTCCCATGGCATCTTCCCCTCATTTTTTCCTTTACTCGGCCCTGAATCTGGTCAGGATAGTTTTCTATGGCTGATGAACTTTGCTGGAGGCAATGGGTAAAAGGAATGTCACAAGCAACCAGACCAAATTCCCTGCTCTGAACCTGCTCAGTGGGTCTATGACGCTGTTCCCAGACCAGGGTTCTGGAAAGCTAATCTCTGGTATATCCGTTACCCAAGGTCACCACAGGGAACACATGAGCTTTAGAGTCTTTTTTTTTATTGCATTCTTTGCATAATGACATGCAGTCCCTTCTCTTGCCAGCCGGAGAGCATGCAGAATGCAGACAAGATTCCTAGAAGCAGAGACCTACCTCTGTTGTTCTCTGTTTTGGAAACCCACTGGGTTCTTCAGTAGGAAGAACATCCAGACTGGAGTGTGTGTGTATGAGAGAGAGAGAGAGAGAGAGAGAGAGAGAGAGAGAGAGGGTTGCTCCAAGGCACATCTGAAGTTTGAAGAGCCAGTGGTTGCTGTTAGTCAGGTCAAATGTATCGCTTCCCACCACCCACCTAGTTACTAGTCTTGTGCCATCCCCTAGAGAGCAGAGTGGAAAAGAAAAAAAAATGAGGTAAATTTTACGGAAGAAGGTGAGAAACATTAGCAAATCACCACGTATTAACAGGGCAAAGTTGTGTTTTCCCCAAATGACCACTGGAATATTTCTAATCTTTGTCTCTCCCTGTGAAGAAGCAGAGTTGAGTTTTCCTACTCCTTCTCTTCCTCTTGAAGCCAGAGGGAATTCATGATTGCTTTCACAGGTAGAATATCACAGAAATAGCTTTGCTTGACATCCAGGGTTCTATGATAAAAGACCATACTACATTCATCTGCTTCTCATTCTTTCTTCGGCCTCTGGGCCTTAGGATTAGCCACCATGCTCTAAGGAAGCCCAACTAGCTCAAGATGAGGAATTGAAGGGAGAGGCCCATACAGAGAAGAGCTGAGGCCACCAGACAGTATCAACCTCCACCTTTGAATGAAGGCTCCTTTGAATGATGGAATTCCTGAGCACCATGTTTGGTTTATACCACTAGGTCTAGGAGTCATTTCTTATACAGTTACAGTAATTAGCAATCAGCAATTAGCTACATTCAAATACCCATTTTCAAATGA